GCCAAACAATCGTCAGTTGAATGCCCACGGTTGCGATGATATCTGCATGACTTGGTCGTATCGGCCCGGGGAGGGGTTGATGCTCGTTTTGGGATGACCAGTATATCCGAGGCCAGTGCTTGTTCTAATACTGCTGACCGGCTAGTATTGAGGGGCGTGTATTGTGAGTACCTTGGTCCCCGAGGAGGCTTCTCGCGGGGAACCAACTCTTTCGGTCGACTCCGAAAACTCGGCTCGGCCAGCTTGTCAGGTTTTGCTGACACTTCTACTCGGGCTTGGTTCCGGAACTCGGCCAATTCGTCCATCTACATGTACTTGTCGGCTCGCCTACGCAAATCATCCATGTCTGTAGGGGGTTTCTTACAAATGATGTTGGCAAACGGCCCTGGCTTCAAGGCAGTAGTAAGGTGGTGTAGAGCTACAGCAGGGTTTAAGTTTCGAATTTTGAGCGCTGCTTTGTTGAATCGGCTCATGAATGTCCGAAGGGATTCCTTCTTCTCCTGACGAATGCTTATTAGTGCCAACGAGGTCAATTGGTGAGGCCGACTGGTAGCAAATTGAATTGTGAATTGGGAAGCCAACGTACTGAACGAATCAATCGAGTTGGCCGGAAGCCGAGTGAACCAACTCAGAGCTCGTCCTTTTAACGATGTTGGGAAAATTCGGCACAGGGCGGCATCATCAGTTGTGCTCAGCGTAACTTGAGTCAAGAACACATCTACGTGTTCATCGGGATCGGTTGTACCATCGTATTTGTCAAGGGGCAGGGACTTCCAGTGGTCAAGAAGTGCCGATTGCATGATGTTCGGCGTAAATGGATGTCGGTGTGCCCCGGCCGGCATTGGCTGCGCCGGTCTTCCGATCGAAGCATGGATGCTTGGGGGCGCGACAGAGGTATGAGGAAAAGAGGTGTGATGACCGTGCGAGTGGAACGATCCTTGAGTGTGAGTCGTCTCGGATGGTTTCCATGTGGGGTCTCGGTATTGGTTTTTTAGAGCAGCATTCTCTTCTTTCAATGCTGCCATCTCGGCGGCATCTCTCTCTCGCTGTTGTTTCATGGCGATCATTTCCTCTTTCATCTGGCGTACCATATCGGTCAAGTTTGTCTCCTCAACCGTCTCGGCCCCGGACTGGTGCTCTTCTTCGGACTGTTGCCCTTCAAAATTAGTATTCCTTGTCTTTACCATGATTCTTTTACTCGTAAACTTTCGGTGCTTCTGCAATGCTATCGGTTCGGCCCCACGGTGGGCGCCAAAATGTACCTGCTCAAGGATACACTCGTAGTCTTCTTGGTAAGAAGGGCCGAACGGATACTTCAAACGGATTCGTCAGAGGGGGGAGGTACCTGCAAAAGGTACTCCGACGCTCAAGTCAGGACAAGCACGATATTCTAGGATAATTAATGAACAGTGACGTACCTCGTTGCGTGTGACCTATTTATAATACCTGACATGGGCCTGAACGTGGTGGGCCTATTCTAATCTTTACCAAATTAGGTAATACGATGCTAATCAGCTAATCATGTCTTAATTAGGCACTTGTCCTTGTTAACTATGATTTGTACTATAATCCGCTTAACCTATCGACACATTGCCGAGCCGACAGGCTAATGCTTGGGAGGTTGCATGTCTTCGACTGTTGACCGGGTCAGTAAACGTTTACTTGGTAATCCTATCGGATCGGCATTTGGCCGAGCCGATACGTAGGATGCGGGGATGCATCATGTCGTTTGCATCGGCCTTCAGCTGGGCCGATGCTAACGTCAACCTTGGGTATGGTCCAGTTCGCATGGGTGTCTAACGGAACGGCACGTGTTGGTCAACATGACCGATAGGGTCCTCCCGGTACAGTACAAGAATTGAAATTGTACATCAACTAACATAACTTATACAAGTTATTGGAATTAACTAACATAGTTTGTACCAATTAAACAAATACAAAAAATTGAGAATATTTAAGATTGACACGTAACATTGAAACCAGGATCTTATATACCAATTAACTATATTACTTTAAATAATAAGTATGATTTTAAATTCTTGCAAAATTGCATTGCTTTTAAAAATCTTGTAAAATTTCTTAATTTGATAGTTGGGAAATGAGAGGCATATGATAGTTTGCAAAACAAGCGAAACTTTTTATATATTGTTAGCATAAAAAAATTTATACAATTGATTGAAAATTATTTTAAATAATAAATATGATTTTTTAATGTAATTATTATAAAAACAAATAAGTTTATCATAAATCATAATATATGATTGGATGAAAGTATAAAAAAAATATTTAAATTCTTATAAAATTATTGCATTTCAAAACCCTATATTTTATTTTAAGTGGTTAATTTTGTTAAAATATATTTTATCATGTACCATCATATGAATATTACTTATTCTATATAAAAAAATTGATTTGAGTTAAAATTAATAATATGTCAGTTTATTATCTATATGTAAAATAAAAAAAAAATAGTGTTAAGGTCGATTTCTTTTATTATTTTTGACTTTATGGTGTTTTTAAAAATAAAATAAACAAATTTCATGTAATGAAATCAAATAAAAATATCTAAACGAGACATATTTTGATAATTAAAATAAAAGGTGCATAAACATGAAAAATTAAATTGAAAATTATGTCAAAAAAGTAAAAGTCAATAGTCTATATTATTGTTCGCGAGAAGGAAAGAAAACATATAATGTTTAGTGATGTGTCAAGAGATTGATCTAATTAATTTGCATAATTGTTGGAGTATAATCACGGTTGAACTTTGAACAATTATCTAAATTAATTTAATTATTGGTATGATTTTGAAAAATTATAAAAAATGATATAAATTCACATTTGAAAAATTATATAATATTATTCATTATTTATAAAATTTTACGCTTAGAGTTAAATTATTATATAAAATAAGTAAATAAATAAAATAAGTTAGCAAGAGTTTTTCTTATTATTTTTTTTGTTAAAAAAAAAAATAATGTGACAAGTGTGACTTGACCCTAACCTCTTTTATTTGAGGTTGTGTGGATTGGAGATTTTAAACCCTCCATTAAGTAGAACTAAACTAAATAAGACTTTTGTGGGAGATGGCATGGACTAGCTCAATGCCATGGTCAAATTGTCACCACTAACCCTCTATCATTCACCTTAATGTATGTGTGCAATACATAAAATACAAAGTGTTATTATGAATTTTCTTAAAATATGTCGTAATAAACCGATAATATGAACCACCAAAATTGGAAAAAATTGATTATTATACGCCATTGAAAAATGATATGAATCTTGATCTCAAAAATAAATATAAATGATGCGCAAATATGACTATTGAATAGAAATTTAAGTTGCTCATTAACTAAAGATAAAGTTAATACAAAAATTATAAAAATATTTGAGTGGGGCAACTAACTACTAATAATTAATTTAAGGCTTAAATATGTTTTTAGTCCCTCAAATTTAAGATATTTATTTTTTGTCTCTCAAATTTAAAACTGTTATTTTTAGTCCCTGTAATTTTTAAAAATCTTGTTTTAATCTCTTAAGTCACCAATAACATATTTGAAAGTGACTAATTAAGACAATTATGCAATATCAACAGGATTTAATGTGATATTTTCACTAATAGGAATATCAATAGATAGATTTTATGCAATAATGTTTGATAAATTTCTTAACAAAATTTGAATATAAGGACTAAAATAAGATTTTTTGAAATTACAGAAACTAAAAATAACAATTTTAAATTTAAGAGACTAAAAATAAATTTATCTTAAATTTGAGAGACTAAAAATATATTTAAACCTTAATTTAATTTAACCTTATAAAACTTTTTTTTTCTGCCATATTATTAAACTTATAGGATAAGAATTGTTATTTCTTATATATTCTATTTTTGTCCCTCTAACTCCAATCGATGTAGACCGCAGATTTTTGCAATAATAAGAAAACAATGACAACAGTGAATAACAGAACATGCCGAGAATGAGATACTCTGTAGATTATAATACAACTATGAACTTGAGCACTCGATTGAACTAGTTATTATGAATCATAATTGATATTGTTTTGTTAAAACAACTGCTAATGTTTGGGAATTTCTGTCTTGTTCATTATTACCACAAGATTGATTTCGAGGCTAATTAGAAGGGACAAATTCATTCTTCGTAATTTCTTGAAGGCAGTAAGGAGTGAGTGGATCCAGAAAAAGTCGTGTGCTACCTGGTACAGAATCCGTGTTATCTCTTGCACAATTTATGATGTATTAATCAATGTTCATCTGCACTTACAGGAAGAACAATTGTCATCAAAGAGGCAAGAGGAGCTTCACTTACTCATGAAGATCTCCACAAAATGCATTATGGTTTGAGGGTTAGAGCTTTCAGACTACAACCTAAAAAATGCTGTGAAATGATTACTGTGTGAAATAAAATTACGCAAATGTTATTGTACAAGGTAAAAACTAATATCACTTGGTGTTCAGCACACTAGGTTGTTCTACACGTGTCATTCTACACACTATATATAGTCGCTTAGCAAAAATACATGATTGATCTCACATTCGCTCGCTCGTGTATTATATGCAGGAAAATAATCAAATTTACCATATACGCACATGAAATATAGCATGCTCAAATAAATGTGGAAAAACAATAATTAGTACCCAAGAGTAAGAGTTAAAACTGTGTACCTGTTCCAAGTGTTAACACATAATTGGCAAACAAGTACTTTTTTAACCATTAACAGATACAGTCTCAACAAATCCTAAAACAAAAATAATTCTTCCTCAAAATTAGCCAACACAATTCTCTAAATTTCCCCACAGGCTGGGCCTTTTATACGTTTCTCTAGCTCCTTTTTCTGATATTTGGCTGAAATTTGAAATCTGTCCCATTCCATTTTGTGTTTCACTTTATTGTCATTTCCAGGAGAATGAGCATTGCGCAGTCGTGAGTGGTGACAAATCACAATATAGTGCAAGATGGATTGGGGTCCTCGTATCTGTTCATGTATACCACCGCTAGTGGTTGGTGTTGTGGTGGTGGATAGTAATATGGCATCTGCATATAGGGCTGATCAGGAGATTTTTGGTCTTGCTTCACTGGGTCGGGCTTCTTCTTTTCTTCGGGCTTTTTATTTTCTTGGGGTTTCTTCTGAGCATCTTGTTTGGGAGGAGGGGCCGGAGGAGGCCCAATACTCACAACTTCAGCATGTTTGCCAGCTTTCCTTATGCGAACTATTATTTCATATGGGTCTGCATCCCCTGTCACGGTCAACGTACCCTTCCCTTCATCAGCTTCAATTTTATCCACCCCTGCAATTCACTCAAAATTAAAATTCAACCCATGAAACAAATATTAAGGACTAGCTAATGTTGTCGAGGCTACCTTCAAGGGAAGAAACAGTCTTGATCAGCTTCCTTTTGCATTTCAGACAATTGATATCAACCTTCAACACCGTCTTCTTCACCATAATCACTCACCTGCTTCTGATCGCTCTACAACAGTAGAATGATAAGTAAAGAATTCAGCCGGCTTTGTGAACTTAACAACAACGTTGTTCGTTTTCAAATATTATGACTTTATAATATTTCAGGTGAACCAAACAAAGAGAAATAACAGCCCGCTTTGACAGTTTTTTCTTTTATGGTTGTTTTTCTTGAAGAATATTGGTTTTTTCTCTTGTTGGGGCCTGTGATTCTTGCATAGGTTTCTTGCGTATGTTGGTTTTGCCGTATGCGATTTGTTGCAACTTGTATTATCCTTGTAAATTGTGTCATTGCTTGAAAACGAAAGGATTGGAATTGTGCGCATAGATATCATATCATCATAGGAAATCAGAAAGCATAGTTGTCAACTTTCAACTTAATTAGATGGAGTTACCAAGAATCCATTGGACCCAATTAGCCTATTACTCCATTTGCTTTGTAGATATTTGGTGAACCATAGTATTATATATTTATTTGAAGTTGTCAAATATGCTAACGTCAATCAACAGTTGTACCAAAAGTTTTTTCTTGTTTTCACAAGTCAAATATAATAAGAAATTAAATAATAACTTCCCTTATCCAATAAAATGAATATTAATAATTGTAAATGAGCTTGTAGTTATTGATGAGAAAAGTTCTTCGTCACATAATAAGATTACTTGCACGTTCAAGAATTTTAAACGAAACACATCCATATTTTATTTTTTGACTCTCTATATAGAGCAGAATTGTAATACAAAATTTAAATCATATAATTCTCCTAAATAAAAAAAATAGGAAACAAATTCTTAAAAAATATCAAAACAAATAAAAATATGTAAATCTAAATAATATCCTAAAGATTACAAATTTCTAATATATTTCCTTAAATATTCACTCACTCAATTTATTTGAAATTTGAATTATTTTTCAATAAATCCTCCCTTAATTAAAATTTATAAATAACTAATTGATAAAAAATATTTATCTTCTCAAAACTTATCCTTCCAAGTTGCAAAGATTCTTTTCATTCTTTTGTCCTTACAATATCAAATGCTTTTTCTTGTATACTTTGCATCCTCATTTTAAACCAACATACCTGTAATCTTGTGATGTCAACTCTCCCAATGAAATTACATTAGTTGCAGTAGAAGGTACATATCTCATATTTTCAAAAGTTTGGATGATACCATTGTGAAGTTTCATTCTCACAGTCTCGATGTCTTAAACCTCCATTTTTCCACCATTTCCTAACTTGAATTGACCAAACTCACCATTAATTTTTAGAGTATGAAACATTGTTTGATCTCTACAAATGTGTTTTGAGGCAGGTGAATCCATTATCTATTTTGATTTAGCAACTTCCCTAGTAGTTGCCAAATAGACATCATCATCATCATCATGAAGGTTTTGGATTACATTAGCTTGGGAGTTGTCATCATCTCCCCTCATAATTCTCAATTTTTGAAGATCTTTTCTCATTTCTCTACACATTGATTGCACGTGACTTTTCTTTCCACAATAGTAACATTGCGCATTACTCATATCTCGTTCTAAATGTGATTGAAAATTTGATCTTCCTCTATATCTATCTTGTCTCCATGAATTATTTCTCCCTTGCTCAGAATGTTGCACGACTAGTACATGACTTTCAGTATCAATATTCTCATTTTTCATCATTCTCACATTTTCTCTTAAGAGCAGATGTCACTTCATCTAATGATGTTTTTCCTACAAGCAACGTCTGAACTAAAGATTTATAGGACTTTGGTAGTGAAACCAACAATAACACTGCTTGCTTTTCATCAGAAATTTTGTTCGTTAACATTTAACAATTGACATACCAGCTGATTGAATGATTAATGTGATCATGAAGATTTTTCCCATCTTCATTTTGAGTTGATACAACTCCATTTTCAAACATAGGCGATTGGTTAACGACTTAGACGCATGAATGCTCTCAAGCTTCTCCTACAAGACTTTTGGTGTTGTCTCCTTTAACACGTTGCACTCGATCTCAAGAGTAAGAGTTAACCGAATTGTGTTCACGGCCTTCATTTGGATTTGACTATATTCTCTTTCATTGATAGTATTTGGCTTTTCATCTTCCAAAGCTTGATCAAGACCTTGTTGCACTAAAATATCTTGAATGATACATCGCCAAATCATAAAATTTGTCTTACCATCAAATAAAAGTATCTCAAATTTTTGTATGTTCCCTGTCATAGCTCTGATATCACTAATGAGAAAAACTCCTCTTCACATAATAAGATCACCCACACGTTCAAAGATCTTAAATGGAATACACCCATATTTTATTTCTTGGCTCTATATATATAGAGTAGAATTGTAATACAAAATTTGAATCATATAATTCTCCTAAATAAAAAAAATAGGAAAAAAATTCCTAAAAGATATCAAAACAAATAAAAATCTATAAATCTAAATAATATCCTAAAGATTACAAATTTTCTAAAATATCTCCTTAAATACTCATTCACTTAATTTATTTAAAATTTAAATTATTTTTTCAACAATTATAACCGATATAGATGTACTCAATAAAACTTGTATAAGGTAGAAGATTAGAAGTTATTTTTCTGGTAACGATATTAGTTATCATAATTTCCACAAATCACAAGTAATACAAGCCAAGGGTTCAACATAATAAGCACAATTAGTTTAAGATACAACTTCCTAGTTAAATAAATACTAGGGTAAACACACAACAAACTAGTTACAGCAGGGGTAAACGCACAACAAGAGTGATGAAGAGAGTTTTTCGGTGTTTGTTTTATTGAGAAACCACAAATATATATGCTGCAGGGTAAACACTGAGCAACTTCTTACTCAAGTTGTTTTAATCATCGATATGCTGATATTAACAAATCCGGTCTTCTCCTTAGCCATTCGTTCAATTAAGATTTCTTGATACCTGCCAAAAACATCTTCAATGATAGCTTTTCCAAAGTGACTGACCAGTAAAGGTTCTGCTACGGCCCTCATGCACTTTGTAACGTCGTAACTAACATTAGGCAGTTCTGAATCAAAAACATTCCAGTTATCGCAGCCATTCCAAGGTACTTCAAATACCTCCAAAGCTGTAATGCTGAATGAACCTTCTTTTTTAACCTCCATTTCCACTTCAGATGGGGATGGTGTGTACTGAGGGATGTTGAAACTGTCTATTTGCTCTTCTTTTATAATTCCCTGTAATTAAGACCGACAAAAATATTTTCATATAATTTTCTCTAATCAAATTTAACTATTAAGTTTTAACGAATAATTAATGATATTTATCATATATCAGTGGGTTGAAAAGATTTTATATTTCTATATTTATTTAAATATATTTAAAAATTACCAATATTTATGTTTAGTCTCTAAATTTTAAAATATTAAATTCAAGTCTTCAATTTATAAGAATAATTCATTTTAATATATTTTTTATTATTTAAAAATTTAGGATAAGACAATCCAAAAATTACATACACATAAATAGATAATTGTTTTTATATATAGATAGAGTTTAAAGGTATTTAAGAACTATTAATATTTGTTAAATTAATCAGTGTTGTATTTAGTCTTCTAATCTCAAAATTTTAAAATTAAGTCTTGAGTTTATAAGAATAGTTAATTTTTATATTATATTTTATTATTTAAAAATTTAAAGATAAAATAAAAAATTATGTACACAAAAATAGAAAATTATTTTTATATAGATATAAATAAATAAAAACAGATTTTATATTTTACATTAAACTTATTAATTTGATGTTAATTAGGCCATCATTGGTTTGATCATATACAAAAAAAAAAAAGAGAAAAAATATGTTAAATAATACAAAGAAAATTCAGTTTATTTATTTAGTTAAATGGACAGCTAACAATATATTATTTTTTTCTAACAAATCTTTTTTATTAGTTAAATTTTTATTAAAAACCATATTTTTCCTTTTCATTCCTTCGTCTATATATTTTTAAAAACTCTCAAACATATAACAGTACATAGTGTATAGTAGACATTTTTTGTGTGATTGGATCTATGTTATTTTGTTAGTGAATAACTTTTTTTCTTCTTCTCTCATTTAAACTACAAATTGAATAAACAAGTATTGGATTATGATAAAAATTATTCGATATATATACATTGTACCTTGCAGAACATATCATTAAGAGCCATGGCCAAAAGTTCCCATATATAGCAACACTCTCTGCTAGATGGATCATCGCTTCTTCTTCCCAAGATTGTGAGAACCATACGACCTCCTTTAACGATTTCTTCTGCACGACACTTGAGAAACAGCGAGAAATCTCTTTGAAATTGCTCGTAATAAGCCCTAAGAACGTTGATGGGACTTGAGCTAGCCATGTAAATATTCCCCTTATTGCTCTCTACGCCTCCAGGAACCTAATTAATCATCAACAAACAATAATTATTTTTATCACCCATCTATAATTATTTTCTCACTCCTATATAAGATGTATTTTAAAGATATTTATTACAATTTTTTATATAATAAATTGATTTTATTGTGAAAATATTTCTTAAAAAACTTTTAGTATGTTTATTTAAAAATTTGGGAAAAATACAATTTAAACAAATCAGATTTCGGATTTTTTTTAAAAGTTACACTGAATTTCCTTTAGAAAAAAAAACCTCTAATCATAATTACTTCATAAAGTAAAAAGTATTTTTTTGTAATTAAAATTCTATAAAATACATTTCTAATTTACATGATTTTTTAAAATATATTATTTTTAATACGTTCTTAAAATCACTTTTTTTTCTTCTTAAAATTTAACCAAAAGGACTAAATGACCATATAATTAAAGAACGGGACTACGTTTCCAAAATCATAATAGTAAGAGGAGCATGACCACATACAATTTTATTTACTTATTTTATGGTCATAAATACTTGTGTATGTGTTTGAAATTAAGAATTTAAATATAGAAATAACTTATGATATATCTATATAAAGTGTTTTTAGCGTGTTTCATGATGGCTTGTGAAACAACTTATGTTTTGTGTAAAAACAACTGAACCTTTATTTGTCTTTCTATTATAAAAACTAACTTATACATGTGAGTACAATTATATAATAAGTATTTATTCAATAAGACTAACAAAAATGCATATCCAAACGTCCTTATTAAAAACTACAAAATTTTATAGGTCCCATTTCTTATTAATTTAATAAATCTTATTCATAATTCTTAATATTTAATAAATTTTAACTAAATAAAAAATATTCAATGTAATAATTATATTATGTGAAAAATGTTCTAGTTGTTTTCACTTTCCATCAACTTAAATCTTGTTAAATTTTATATTTCTTGAGTTATATATATTAATACTCAAGAAAATAAAAAAAAGATAACATAACGACAAGTCATAATGTATTGAGTATAATTAAAACTTTTTAATTATTTAAGGCCGTGACTAATATAAAGTTATTGAGGTTGTTTCCTAAACTCAATCATTTGAGGTGTCAAAAGTCTTTCAATATTTTTAAAAAAAAAATATTAATCATTAATTTTAATTATTAAACAATAAATTTTAATGTGGTGATATTTATTTTTTGTTGCTATTTTCAATAGTAAAATTATGTAACTTCTCACTACAAAAAAATTATCATATATATAGTGACATTTATCTTATAATGATATAAAAATTGTTACTAAAAAATATTTTTACCTATACAGTAAATATAATACATGTTAGTATATTGTTCAAAAAAGTGTGAGTATGTATAGGATATATTAACACATAAAATATTTTGTTAAATTTCGTTCAAAATCAACACTAAAATTATATGTCATATATATATATATATATATATATATATATATATATATTATACTTATAGTGATATTTTTTGTATGTCATTGTAACATTTCTTATAGTGTGGATTCATTTAAAATTATAAGAAAATATTTTTGCAAATGATTTCCACTTAACAAAAAAATGACTATTGAAAATAAATATAAAGACTAACTACTGTGAGAAACATTCGATCTATAGAAAAATATTTGAATAAAAATACAAACGACGAGATCACACATTCAATTTATAATTCTTTTGTATTGATTATTTATGTACATATTAGATTAATCTGTATTTTTTTAATAGAGCCAATTTGAATAACTTTTAGATTGAGTCCTTGTTAACTTTTTTCTTAATCTATAAATTTTAAAACTTTATATGTTATAGTATTAGAAGAAAAAAAAAACCATATTAATCTTGAAAATATTTTAAATTTTGGAGAGCATTCTAACATTGATAGCTTGATTTATTTTAAAAAAAGAAAATAAATTATATTTCCCTCTATTGATATACAAGAATATCACACTGTTTCGTCATGTGTTTATAAATACACTTTTCTTAATAAATTTTAGTATACGACACTTTACTTTTTTTTTTTAAATTTTTTTTACAGTTATCTTAGATTCCATTTAAAAAAAAAAAAAAAACGTTGCCAAAAAAATCCTTTACAGTAACACTCTTAAAAATGCAAGTGTATAGTACACTACCATCTTTCTTTGTGTCAAAACACACACACACAAATATATAAATATATATATATAGTAAAATAAAATTAAGCACAAATATTTTGGTAGTATTTAATTGATGTTATAAATATAGTGATTTTACAAATATTTAAATAAATTGATACTTTTCTCATATAGCATTAATGAATAAATTTAATGTTGATTTATATATAATGTAAAATAATTTTACACAGTAATCAAATCATAAATCATATATAATTTATAGTAAATTATTAACTTTATAATAATAAATAAGTAAAAAAGTTATGTCAACACTAATATATAATTAATTGAAAATATAAAATTACTTTATACTCTTAATGAATATATTTATTAAATAAACTATATAATTAATTTTAATAATATTATTAAATATAGTGAATTTAATAAATGCAATGCTTATATATATATATATTAAACGTAAAATTATTTAAATGAATACATTTATGTTAGAAATCTATTATTCAATAAATGTAAATATTATAAAATTTAATATTATATATATGATTTGATATGATTTATTTTTTTATTATTAAAAAAACTGGTATACCAGAAATTAGAAATTATACTTTTCAAAAGTGTGCATGGAAACAATACCTCAAACAATTGTGGATGTCCATGAAAATTGTGTAACACCCTAAATTTTTTAAAATTATTAAAAATAATATTTTGATTAATTAAAAGAAATTTTATAAAACCATTTTAAAGACTTTTAATAATTATAAATATTTTTAATTAAATAATAAATAGTGCAAAAATTATTTTGTATTTTTTGATTATAATTGTTTATATATTTTATTTTAATTATAATTGTGTTGGAAAAATATATTTATTTTATATATTATATATTTATTAATTACTATATTTTGTTATATACCAAAAAAATTATTTGAGTTGGGAGAAATATGTTTATTTGATATATTATTTATCTTTAAGTTTTAATATTTGAGGGAAAAGAAAAGAGAACTATAATTAAAAAATTATTGAAGGGTTAACTATGAATTAATTTTTTAAAAAAAGGGGTTATGATGGTTCTTTTATTTTTAGACTTCACATTTTTCATATTATGCGTAAGCTCTAAAGAATCGAAAGGAGAACCAAACCTTGTAGGAGTACACCTCGGAAATCCACGTCCATTTTTTAGCATTCATCAAGATAAAGAGGGAAAGTGAATAGTCTTGCTTTGGGTGTGGGATGTGTGCTGGGTAGTGAGATTGACCATCAATCCCTTCTCTATTGCTTATAATGTATGAAAGGAATTTTTCCAATTAATTGTATGAATTAATCACCTATACACTGTCAATGTAAAGTTTTTTACACTAGCTAGCAACCAATCAGATTTGTTAATAGTACATTTTTTATTTCAATTTAATTAAATAAGCAAATAACATGACACTATTAACAGATCTGATTGATTGTCAGTGTAAAAAAACTTTACACTAGCAGTGTATAGGTGATTAACTCTAATTGTATTGTGTGTTTTTGTTCTTTTATGTGATTCCTCGTTATTCTATTTGATGTTGTGTATTTGTTTATGCTTTCAATTTATTGATTGAGCCCATAATTGTGAGTTTTTGAGTGCTTGTAGTTTCTGTAGAAAACCTTTGATTTATAGAGTAATGTGAAAATTGATGTTAATTGCATGAATATGCGAAGTTGAAGTTGTATTTGAGTAATTGATAATATAATAGAGTAATATTAAGCTTTAATTCTGATTTTTACCGATTGGTTTCAAGTTTTTGGATTTTGGGTTTGTATTGTGTAACTTTCACAGAATTTGTAAGTTTTCCTCAAACTAATATCACGTCGGGCATCCTTGGACCGTCGTGGATGCCATTTGACGTAGTTATTGCAAGGTTTCACACTGAGCATGATCTTAGTCATGTCAGGCATAGGTGTGGCTAGGGATGGCAATGGGGCCCCATGGGGGCGGGTAATAGTAAATCCGTCCTCGCCCCGCTAGATGAAAATTGTCCCCATACCCACCCCATATCCGCGCGGGTATCCATTGAGCGGGTATCCATGAATTTCTTGAATACCCACGGATATCCATGGATATCCATGGATATTTATAAATTTTTTAAGAAATTAAAAAAATTATATTACAAATAATTTTAAGTCTATATTTAATATCATTGAAATATTAAAAATAAAAATTTAATATTAATTTTGAACTTGTATTTAACGTTAATTTTGTTGAAATAATAATAAAAATGTAAGATAATCAATGACTTAAAATATATCAATCTCACAAGTAAGTTAAAGTCTCATCACCAAGTTACAATAATTCAATCTCATAATTCCAAACGAAAGTAAACAATTTAAAATACATAAATTTTATTGGTCCAATCAAAGCTAGAAAATTAATCAAATTATATCCAATATAATTCTATAACATGCTTAATACATGTTAGTAACTTCATCAACCTTACTTTTGTAAGAAAATAAGACGAGAGAGTGTAGTTTTAGGGTTATGTGGTACAAGAATAATTAGGATATTTAAGAAATATTATTAAACGGGTACCCGCAGGTATGGATATCATCATACCCGCCCCGCCCCCGCCCCATTTATAAACGGGTAAAAAATTATCCGTCCCCATTATCTGCGGGTACCCAATTAACCTATCCATTTATTATCCGTAGCGAATTTTACCCACAGATACCCGCGAGTGCGGGTATTTTTGCCATCCCTAGGTGTGGCAGAGAGGTTGTTGTCCTTTCCCCGTCAAGTACTAAGAACATCACGTTGGACGTGATATTGTTAGAACCAAGTTTTGTGATCTTTATAAGAATTGTAGTCCTAGATGTTAGCTTTTTAATGTTGTTATAATCACCTAAAAAGGAAGATTAGAACTCGAGTTATGATCAAATTAATGAACAAATGTCAGACTATCAGATTTATGCTGTAACGTTGTGATTTTTTATTTTTAAAAATAGTAAATGATTAAGTTATGAAAATGTAGTTTGTGATGGTGATGATGAATAACTTTACCCTTTAAGTTTTTGGTCTTATAAATGATTTGAGATATGTAAATCAATGTCTACAAAAGATAAATCATGAGAAAAATCAATTGTTAATAAGTTATGATATAAATTAAATTTTAACGACTTGATGTATTTTGATGATAGCGATGTTTAAAAACTTAATGTGTGATATTGATAAGACTACTAGACCAGTCAAGCTATTGATATATTTAATTTTTTTGTGACGTTGATCTCTTAGTAACATATGATTAGACGATCCTATAACGATTTTATCTTAAGGTGTATCGGGTGATGTTGTGTAATTTTTGTGTTGAACTACTAACGTGTAATCGATCATTGTACTAATAAATGATGATAACTAGTTATAGTATATGAGTATGTTAGTGATGTGTTCTTTTATGTTATTGATTGCTAATATTTAATTGATATAATTGAATTGTTAATTGTTATATTGAGAATAATTGATTATTATATGTCTTCAACCTTAGTATCGATTTCACAAAATAACAATTTTTTCTAATTACAAAGGAGTAAATCATATCATATATTTGATATATATATATATATATATATATATATATAATATCACAA